TTAATAATACTACTAGGAGCCATGCTGGGGAAAAAGGAGGGGAACTGATAATTTGCTGCAAAGCCCAAGCAAGTTAAGGAGGGAATGTGTCTGTGTAATAGGTAGGGGGTTGGTTGCATAGGCAGGCATATCCCTGGTGACAGTACCTGAAGGAAAACCCCTACTTAATCTTCAAGATACTGTTCAAATGCCAGTGTCTTATGTGAAGCTGTCTTTTAGCTCTGGTGTAAATTGCTTCATCCTTGTGTTCTACTTAGCTGTGGGGGCAACTTTCCTCTAAAGTCCCGCCGTGTGCCACCGATGAGAGTAAACATGACTGAGACATGATGTGATCTTCCTGGGGAGGAGAAGTGGCCAGTTTCCCAGAGGAAAAAGGCCTTGAGCAGTGGCCAGTTTCTCAGGGGGAAAAGGCGTTAGGACCCTTCCTCCAAGAGCTTTTATTGGGTTGCAATACACAGGAATACAGGTGGCAAGGATCAAACAGTAGATAACATTTCAAAGAAATCTGAGGACTTAGTCTGAATCAGAGTCTGTCAGGAACAGAGTTTTAGAGTTTCCTGCTCAAACCCTAAACAGATTAATGAAAGCACTCTTAGCAGAGCAGAGGTCACAAGTTTATCAGGAAGTCTTTGTGATGCCAGATTTTTCCCCAGGACATTCTCTAGCAAGGCAAGGAGCTGCACCTCTCCGCATCAGGTATTCAGGCTTAAGGGGATTAGAGCCAGGAAGCACTTCTCCCAGGGGACATGGGGACTCGGGCTTTGTCAAAGCCGGGGATGGGGGGATGAGAGCATCCATTGCTCCTTGTTGCAGCCCCCCTAGTCCTTCCATGAAGGCTTCCCAAGTGATCATGTCTGGCCTAGGTTGCCTCTCCTCTGAGGGGTCTTACCTGTCAAGGACTTCTGACCATGCTTTGGGGGCAGGGAGGAAACTGAGGCAGCATTTGCTACCAGAGACAAGTTTTGTCTCCTGTGGCTCAAATTCCAGAGGTCCTCACTCACTCATCCTTAAGCCACAGGGGGTAAGAGTTAAAATTCCTGCAACCAGGCAGAGGGTCCTAGCCCTTACTGTGTTTCTTTTTTAGGTCTTGTCTCACTATCTTGAAGTTATATCTCTCTCCCTCACTAAACTGTCTGATCTGTGAAAGTAGAATCTTCTCTATATATATTGGGTTGGCCAAAAAGTTTATTTTTTTTGTAGATGTCTCTAGTAGCACTTAGTTGTCTTTAACTTCGTTCAAAACAATTGTGTTAGATTGTATTGTGACAGCTGTCATATCAGCATGCATTTTTTAATTTATTTTTTTAACTGATTATGCTGTTACAGTTGTTTTCCTGCCTTTATTCCCCTCCACCCTACTCCCCCGTCCCCACCATTACCCCCCCTTTAGTTTATGACCATGTGTCTCAAGTTCTTTAGATTCTATATTTCCCATACTATTCTTGCCCCCCATCTATTTTCTATCTACTGTATATGCTACTTATTTTCTGTACCTTCTCCCCATTTCTCCTCCTCCCACTCCCCTGTTGCTAACCCTCCTTGAGATCTTCATTTCTATGTTTCCACTCCTGATCTAGCTGTCCTTTTAGTTTGCTTTTGTTTTAGGTGTGGTTGCTAATAACAGTGAGTTTGCTGTCCTTTCATTCTTCACCTTTTTTATCTTCTTTTTCTTAGGTAAGGCCCTTTAACATTTCATATAATAAGGGCTTGGTGATGATGAACTCCTTAAATTTGATCTTATCTGAGAAGCACTTTGTCTGTCCTTCCATTCTAAATGAAAGTTTTGCTGGATAGAGCAATCTTGGTTGTAGGTCTTTAGATTTCATGACTTGGAATACTTCTTTCCAGCTCCTTCTTGCCTGTAAGGTCTCTTTTGAGAAGTCAGCTGACAGTCTGATGAGAACTCCTTTGTAGGTGACTGTCCCCCTATCTCTTGCTGCTTCCAGGATTCTCTCCTTCATTTTAATTTTGGCTAATGTAATGATGATGTGTCTTGGCGTGTTCCTTCTTGGGTCCAACTTCTTTGGGACTCTCTGAGCTTCCTGGATTTCCTGGAAGTCTGTTGCCTTTGCCAGATTGGGGAAATTCTTCTTTATTATTTGTTCAAATAAGTTTTCCACTGGTGGCTGTTCCTTTCCCCCTTCTGGTACCCCTACAATTCGAATGTTGGAGCATTTAAAGATGTCCTGGAGGTTCCTAAGACTCTCCTCATTTTTTTTTGAATTCTTGCTTCTTCACTCTTTCCTGTTTGACCATTATTTGCTTTCTTCTGGTCCACTCCATTGATTTGAGTTTCAGTTTCCTTTCCATTACTATTGGTTTCCTGTGCAATACCATTCATTTCAATTAGTTTCGCCTTCATATGTTTGTCTAATTTGTGGCTATAATCAACCAGTTCTGTGAGGATCCTGATCACCAGTGTTTTAAACTGTGCGTCTGAGAGTTTTGCTATTTCTTCATCACTTAGATTTATAGGCTCTGGGGCTTGGATATCTTCTTGAGCCTTTTTTGGTCTGTTCGCACCCTTTAAGTATGAGGAGTGGAGCATTGGACCCCCCAGGTCGCTGGATTATGACGCTTATGTGGGGGCGTGGTCAGAGCGGGGAAATGGCGGCCCCCTCTGCAGTTTCCTGCTGCTGGGTGACGAGCAGAGACGTGGTCGTTCACCAGGCCCGGGCCACTCAGAGTTGCTAGGTTATAATGCTGTATGTGGAGGTGGGGTCAGAGCGGGGAAATGGCGGTGCTCTCCGCTGCTGCTTGCTGCGAGTACCCTCTGGGTCCCATCCAGTCGCCCACTCTCTCGCTTGTCTATCCATGCATGGATGCGAGACCACAGTCAACCCGCAGCCCTGCTTCCTTGATGTTTCCCCGAGGTGGCTCGCTGGGTCTCTCACTAGGTCCAACCCTGTGCCTGGATTCTGCATGCCTGAGTCCATCTGACCGAGTTTTCCTGTGCTACCCCGCTCCACCAGCTGCTGGTTTTGCCCCATATCAATCAGGCTGAAGAATTTGTTGTTAACAGACTTCTGAAAAGTTCAATTTTCTGTGTTCTGGCTGTGTTTTCTGTTTTTAATATTTAGTTGTCTCTAAACTTGGTTGTGTGAGAAAGCACGGTGTCTCCACCTATACCTCCATCTTGGCGGAAGTCCCCCAGCCAGCATGTATTTTTTTAAAACATCAATATGGGTGAATTTTTGTGAAGTCACTTTCATATTGAAGATGGAAGAAAATATGAAGCATTTTCAGCATATTATGCTTTATTATTTTAAGAAAGATAAAAGCCCTGGCTGGTATAGCTCAGTGGATTGAGCGCAGGCCTGCGAACCACACGATCGCGGTTTGATTCCCAGTCAGGGCACATGCTTGGGTTGCAGGCTGGTTCCCTGCAGGCCAGTTCCCAGCAGGGAACGCAAGAAAGGCAACCATACATTCATGTTCCTCTCTCTCTCTCCTTCCCCCCTTCCCCTCTAAAGATTAAAAAAAAAAGAAAGATAAAAATGCAACTGAAATGCAAAAAAAAATAAAGATTTGCACAGTATATGGAGAAGGTGCTGTGACTGATCAAACATGTCAAAAGTGATTTGCAAAGTTTCATGCTGGAGATTTCTCCCTGGCTGATGCTCCATGCATTCAAGTGACCAGTTGAAGTTGATAGCAATCAACTCAAGACATTAACTGAGAACAATCAACATTGTACCACACAAAAAAGAGGCCAAAACACTCAAAATATCCAAATCGATAAAGTTATTGGTTAAAAAATGTGTCTTTTATTTTACAGGAAAAAAAAGACTAAATGAACTTTTTGGCCAAGCCAATATCTTTGGATCTTCCAATGTCTAAAAATTGCTGAAGCATACTTAGTGCTCTAGAAATGTTTGCTTAGAGGAGTCATGAGGAATGACCATATTTTTTTGGCTATCAAGAGCCTTTGAACAATGGGATTTGTGAATTAATCATGGTCTAGGGTCTGAGTCTCTGCCTTAAAGATTAGGTCCCTTGGTTTTTTCAGCACACCATGAGTAGATAGATATCTCTGGTAGCCTTATACAATGGTGATTTCAATGATGTAATAGAAACTTATTATTATTTTTTAAAATTTATTTATTTATCTTTAGAGGGGAAGGGAAGGAGAAAGGGAGAGAAACATCAATGTATGGTTGCCCTTTGCACATCCCCTCCTGGGAAATGGCCTGCAGGGAATTGGCCTGTAACCCAGGCATGTGCCCTGACTGGGAATCGAACTGCGATTGTCTGGTTCGCAGGCCCGAGCTCAATCCACTGAGCTATACCAGCCAAGGCGCAACTTATTATTTCACAGTAGGATATATAATTGCCAGATTCCAGGGTTACTAACATGAGCTTTTCTCATAAGTAGACCTTCATGGGAAATCTAATTAAAATCTATAGAGATACATCTGACACAGTAGAAAGTACTTCAGTTTTGGGACCTTATAGGTTATCTCTCATCCAGGCACTGCCATCTTCTGGTTTTTATACTTCTCTAATTCTATAATGGACTCTGCTAATCCCTGGGTTGCTCACAAGTATTCTTTAAATGAGATAAACACTTAATAAATTACAATATCCTTTGCCACCTTTCCTTTCAGGGGTTATACATAGTCAGATCAACATGATTTGATGTATATGTTTCCCAACTCTTCAGAATCACAGATTTACAGGCAATACTTGGTTTAATTTCCTAGGAGGTTAATCACACATTCATTATAGCATATGGATTTCTACTGGTTTAACTTTCAGAGGACAAACATAACCTTATTTCCAAATTTTGTGGGGTGGGGCATCTTGATGTCTTTTCACTTACTGCCAACAGTAATAACTAAAGGTTATTGAAACTTTGAAATATATGTCAATGTCATTCTGTATACTGGAATTTTTAAGACCCACTGGAAGCAGAAGTAACTGGATTTGTACCTTCTATGCCAGTTCATAATCTTAATATGTATGTGCTGAATAGATTTCTCTAATTTTGTTTCCTATAGGCATTATATCTGATAGCTACCAATGGAACCCCAGAGCTCCAGAATCCTGAAAGACTGTCAGCTGTATTCCGTGACTTTTTAAATCGCTGTCTTGAGATGGATGTGGATAGGCGAGGATCTGCCAAGGAGCTTTTACAGGTGAAAATAAAGTAGGACAATTACGAAGTCATCATATTGAACTTTTCCACCTCAGTTTGTGACAGCAAGAGAGCTCTTTCAAGAGATGTCTAGTGAGAGTTAAGCTATAACCATGTGATTTTAGACCACAGGCACATTAAATATAGACATGCATCTGATACATGATTCATTGACATGTTGCTGTTGCTAAACTTTATTTGTGCCCCTGGATGTTGTATGCAGGTACTCTTGGCTGAAGGCAATTCTCTGCATAACTATGCAATTATTTCCATGGCATTTGCTGCTCTAATACTTTTTACTGATCAAAGCCCCTTTGCTTGTGATGCCATATGGCAGGTACCTGCTTGTCTGGGTGAGTAACATCCATTGCTGAGGGCCTCTGTAACCATTTGTCCTTTGCATGTCTCTCAGGGATTAGTATACACAAGGGCAATTATCAGTACCATGATGTACCACATTTTTTATTAAAATTTATTTATTTTAATTGTTGTTCAAGTACAGTTTTCTGTCTTTTACTCCCATCACAGCTCACCCCCCAGTGCTCCCCACCTCCCTCCCATTTCCACCCGCTTAGTTTTTGTCCATGTGTCCTTTATACCTTTTCCTGTAAACCCCTCTTCCCCTTTCCCCCTGAAATTCCCTCTCCTCTCCCCTCTGGTCCCTGTCAGCTTGTTCTCTCTTTCAGTTCGTTTGGTTATATTTTGCTTGTTTGTTTTCTTTACATACATTATCTTGTTTAATTCTTACAACAACTCTATAGGTCAAGTGTTATTATCCCATGTTACAGATATAAAAATTAAGGCTTGCATAGCTATTGAGTGGTAGAATTTGGATTTGAGTCCTGGACTGCCTGACTTTGCACCGTATAAACCAATTCAAGGTAAAAGATGAATGGCTCAGAGATATTGCAAGTTTGGTTCCAGACCACTCCAATAAAGCCAATATAGCAATAAAATGAGTCATTATGTTGGCAGTGAAAGCAGCACCAGGTGTTAGATTGGTGGAGTCAGACCAGACTTTGGTTCAACAATTTCAGTTCTGGAGTTCTAGCTAGGAAAGAAGTCAGAGGCAAGACTCAAACTGTAAGAGTTTATTTAGAAAGTCACAGAGGTAGAAGCATTGAGCAGTAGAAAAACTGGGCCTAGAAAACAAACTACAGAGGCAAAGAAGGGGGTCTTTGGAGCTTAGGAGAGAAAAGGGTAAAGGTAACATGCCTGGGGAGAAGAAGGGTGGGGAGAAAGGTGCAGGTGTGCTTTTAAGAGGGAGAGCACCCTGCATCCTATGTCCTAAGAGCTTTCAAGGGTGGAGATTTTAGGCGAGGTCCCAGAGGAGGATCTCAGTAGAATAATCGTCAGCTTTCCAGGTGTGTCCTTTCAGAGTCACGGTCTCTAATAATTGGTTGGCACCAGGGCCAACCAATTGATCATTTTTCAATATTGCTGGTCCTGAGGCAGCCTTGGCATAGTTTGTATGGTTTTGCTGCTTTCTTGGGTCTATAGCAGAAACACAACTAAAGCCTAGATGTATTTGATGCAGGTCAGAGCCTCATCGTCCTGGGGGTTTAATGCTTCAGGGGTGTTCTTTGGTCCCCTTGTTTGTTTGCCCTCTATGTGTGTCTAACCCAAATGACTAGCAACATGCCAGGAGAGGAAAGGTCAAGGATCAAAACTGCATGACCAGAGATATGAAAGGTCAGGATGTCTAAACCACATGACCAGTAATATGCTAGGAAAGGAAAGGTCATCCTGGAGGTCTTTGTTTTCCCAGTTTTGCCTGTTGCTAGGCACCCATGGCTTCCTGCCCTGCTGACCATCAGTACCTGGCCCATTATCCTTGCTCTGTTCATTCTGTCTAACTGACAACTACAATAATCGTTTTGTTGGTGGGGGGGGGCCTTGCCTTCAATTTGTGAAAAAAATGCAACATCCATGAAGTGCAATAAAGTGAAGGGCAATGAAACAAGGTATACCTTTATTTATATTGATAAAGCAACACAAGTCCAGTATTACATATGTAGCTTCATTGCTGGGGACTGTTCCTCAGGGACATGTATCAAGCTCGGTAATATTTGAGAACAGTGACTGATTGTTCTTTCTGAGACTTTGAACACATGATCAAGTTAAACAAAAGGCACAACCACTCAGTCAATTCTAGGCAAAAAAATAAAATAAAATAAAATAAAATAAAATAAAATAAAATAAAATAAAATAAAATAAAATAAAATAAAATAAAATAAAAACTGTTTCTATTGCTTCTAAACTCCCTGCTGACATAGAGCCACCACCAGGCAAAAAATATCCCCCAACCCAAATCACACCAGAGATAAACCTATTTGGAGGAATTAAAGAAGTTACACCTCTTTTGTGCTACTTATGAGCATTTCACAGGCTCTTCTAGGACCCTAAAATGTCAAATCTGGAATGGCCCTTTATTAATCCTCTAGTTAATCCGATCTCAAATTACAGATTAAAAACCTGAACTTTTAAGTGCTTCACTTCCACATCTTTTCGCTCCTCTCACTACCCCACATACACATCCTGATGCATGTTCCAAGGATAAATGAAGATAGTGGTTTTCATAATGTAGCTATATGATCACATAGATAATTGAATCAATTATCTAGTTAGTTCATTCCCTCATAGTACTTTTATCTGAACCAGTGAGATAGCTGATGCAAAACTATATTGAGTCTAGATTGAATAGTTTGTTGCATCTCTTCATTTTATTTATATAGCAATAACCCGTGTATCGCCTTAAGTCCAGATAACTTCATTCTCTGACTTTAGCTTATTAATGCTCAGTTTAGAGGTTAGAAAGTAAAGAGATGTATGACATTTATACCACTGGAAGGCTTGAGAAAAGACACAGGTATTGAATATTTGTGTGACTTTCTATATGGCCTAAGCCAGTTCTCTGTCCATTAATTGATATTTATTGAGCAACTCCTTTTTGCAAGGCTTAAGCGTAGTGTATGATAAAAAAAAACCTCTTAAAGACATGATGATTCCTCCTCTCCGGAATTTCATCATCTCCTGGGCACATAAAAAGATGCAAGTTTGTCTAGAGACTCATTCAAACAAAGTGAGTGTTCAAACAGTAAATAACATGATTCAATAGGCAATGAGAAAATGTTTACAAATGGAAAGGAGTTCTGCTGGGCATCGAAGGACAGATGGCAGAGCTATAGTGTGACTGAAGTCATGTAGGCAAGGTTTAAGAAAACAGAAAATAGAAAGTATAGCTGAAGAATTCAAGTAGGAAGTTGAAAGAGATAAGACCATCGAGAGCCTTGAATGCCAGGCTAAAGAATTAGGAGTATAGGCAGTGGGGAAATACTGAAGATATCTGAGGGAATCACATGATGAAAGATTTGTTTAAAAAAGAGTAACCTGGTAGTATGCAATAAGAATTAGCAACAGGAAAAAAATAAGGAAGATCAAGGGGGAATTATTGTTATAGTTCAGAATTAAAGTTGATTAGGCCTGAACTAGGGAAGGCGACAAATCATTTTGAGAGACATTGAGAAGGAAGTACTTGGTAGCTGATTTCATGTAGAACATAAGACAGAGGAAGATAAAAGAGACTTCAGAATATAAAACCACTGGTAGCATTCAGTATAAAAGTGATAGAGAATAATACAATGGCAGCATGTCTTTGTTTCTATGTAGTCTACAAGGAACTGGCATTTACCTTATTTGATTTAACTGTTGTAATAAGCAGAGAGGATTGAATTTAAGTGATCTAACTCCAAAGCCTCTGTGGTTTACATCACACAAGAGGACCCTGGTGGGAGTGTTTAACATATGTTTTTAAATGCTGAATTCAAGGTGATAGAAAGACATTTAAAAGGAAATATCCATCAGGCAATTAAAGAAATAGGACCAAAATTAAGGAAAGAGATCAGGTCACACAATATAGATTTGGGAGTCATCCCCATAAAGCTGATGAGTAGTTGAAACCATGAAAGTAAATGAGTTCTCAAAGGAATTAACTTAGAAAAAGAAGGTGATAAGAGACTAGTACCGGTATTTGGGAGATAGGAGGAGGTGAAACCAGGGAAGAAAATGGGAGAAAGTAGTCAGTGAACATGCTTGTGGAAGAGAACCAAGACAGTAGAATGTCACAGGCCCCCAAAGAGAAAACCATTTCAAATAAGGAAGAGATGTTCATTTGTATTGAGTACTGCAAAGGAGCCAAAAGTGAAATGATAGAGGCACAGCTGTTGGCTTTAGCAGTTAGGAAGCCATTGGTTTCAGGGTCAAGGTCAAAGGCGTTTTTTCCAAGCATAACAGCAGCTCCAGATAAAATCATCAATCTTAAGAAATTCAAAAAGTTAGACTGTTGTAAACACTGACATTTAACAAGACCCCAACTCAAATTTCTAGCTCTGCCAGTCAGCTTCCAGAAGGTTTCATAACACTGAAGGACAAAAGCTGGCACTATTTTAATAAAAATATTTAATTGGGCACCCAAAATACATGTTAATGAAAAAGGACTGCTTGAAAATGTAAAGTATTATACTTGTTGCAGGAAATAATTCAAGTAATTCCTCTTTTTTTTTTGCAGCATCCATTTTTAAAATTAGCCAAACCTCTCTCAAGCTTGACTCCTCTGATTATTGCTGCAAAGGAAGCAATTAAGAACAGCAGCCGCTAGGACTGCAAGACTTACCCCACACCATCTCCCTCATGAGTAAGACTGAAATAAAACTTTGCTGCAGGAAAAAAGAAAGAAAGACAGTCAAATGGGGTGGGGGTTCTTTAATTTTCAAATGAATAGAAATTTCTTATAAGCCTTTTTCCTACTCCTTCAGATTATGTAATTTATTTGTAAGTCTGAATCACAGCCCTAACAGGGCAGCAATGTCGAAGTGCCCATAGAGTGGTCACTTCCACCGTGAAGCGAAAGAGCCAGTAGTGAATCCCCTCATTTTGTGCATTCACTTTGAAGAAAAATGTTTCTCAAAGGTGCACACTCCCTCTTCATAGTGTTGTGTTTGTTTTTTAAGTTAGAGAGTAGTTCTTCTTGCATTCAAGCCTCCTTCAAAATTCCTTACCCAATGTGATGTTTTTCACTTGCATTGTCATTAGATGTTCAGAAGAAAATGTCAAAATGTTTTTAAAAAAGAAAACCAAAAAATGCACCAAAAAACCCCAAAAACAAATGAACAACAATAAAAAAGCAAGTACTGTGTGAACATGTGGAAGTCCATGCCCTAATAGAGTTGCAATTTTTTCTTCTTCTATAGTGGTAGCTTTGTGTACCTGTTTTTCTGCACTTGCATTGGAAAAGGTGTCTTTTAAGATAACTTCCCAAAAGCAAGGAGAAATATGTGTATTCAGGAAAGGCTATCAAGACTGTATATCTAAATAAAGCTCCAATGGTGAAATCCTGTTGCATTTTCATGATAATGCTTAAGAGGTAGTTGATTTAACATTTATATAAATCAGCTTGTTCAACTTCATGATAACTGAAAAAGGATATGCCGAAACTGTTGCATTCCTGTTGAGTGAGTCTAGGTACTAAACTTAAGAATTTTTCATAGGAGAAACCGTACTTAAGCAAAGATGGGACTCTCTCTGACAGCCAAAAGGAAAATAAGCTTTAAGTAGTGAAATCCTTGTTGAACAGCAAGTAAACAAAGATAAAAAAAAATACCTAGTTTAATCTTCTCTTGTGCTTGTGAAACTTGTACACGGTAAAATAAATGCACCAGAAGGGAACAGACCCATTAACCAACATTTGCTTATGAAAAATTATTTATTTTGACAACTTATAACATTTAAAACATTTTAAAAGTGCTGGAGAACAGAGATATTTTTGTAAGCATTCAACTCTGTAAGAAATGGGAGGTCAGTGAAAATATGTTCCAATCACCATTGGCTATAAGAATTTGTTTCCATTCTCCCTATATGCCACCAATTTCTGTTTCAAGTTTAGTGTGTTCATACTTAGTCTTTGGGGCTTTTGAATTTGAGAAACATGCTGGAAGTTCTCCAGTGAAAATAATTAGGGTGTGCAATCATATGTCCCAAGAAACATAAGTCCAACTGAATTTCTTTTGTGGCTTGGAGAAGATATGAAAATTTGACTATCATTTCACCATGTGGCTATTTATCAAAAAATCAACAATTAGAACTTCCTGAATCTTTTGAGAGTAGAAAAATATTTGGAGGGCGTTTGCATAGAAAAGGATATGCTTCTCTTTTCAGTGAATTATCAAATTTTATAAATTCTGCAAAGTTATTTCTCTACGCCTTTGAAAAGCTAGCAATTTGTTGTAGAAGTCTTCTTGATTAGTAGTATATCAAGAATATGAATAGAGCTTATCTACATGCAGCAAGAGGAAGAAAGAGATCAGTGCCTTGGGCCTCTCTCCTTCTTTGCCAAGGTACATCCATCCATCTAACCATTTTCTATTCCTTAAAATAGAAGCACTTTTATTAGAAAGTTTCTGTTAACCATATAGTGCATGTTTATATTTAGAAAATGACACCGTTGGATTTCCTATTTTCCTACTGTTTTCTTTGGCTATAAAATTTGGGAGGGGGTTGAACCCCTGAGAAATGTCCACAGTGAAATAAAACAACAAATGTGAAAAGAAAATCAAATGAAAATATTAATTTGAAGCATACCACATTATACTTTGCAAAATCATGGATGGACCTGAATATTTTAATACCATCTGTCCTAATAAGAGAAGGGGGGGTATTTTTTATTTCATTTAAAGTTAAGTATTTTTAATTTTTTTTCCATTCATAGTGCCAGGGAATTCAATGAAATAGTACCTGGGATACAGATAGAATTCAGAACATTGATAACTATGCCCTTCCAATGGAGGAAAAAGACCCAAATCTGGTTGGAAATTCCTAGTAGACAATTAGCATCCCTTTTATGTCATAAAGGTCTTTTGTGGTAAGGGAGACATGGAGCCCTGATCCTTCAGCTCACTGTAAGCAGAGAAATGGCTGCTCTCTTATGCTTTTAATTCAGCATATTAACCAGGGAGAGCCAGGTACTTCTTTGTCACATTCCACTGTACCTCAATTTTGTAATATATTCCAATAGGCTTTACTCTTACAAATTTATATATAAAATTTAAAATAAAAACAGTTTCTGGAGACCCTTTCCTATGTTGGAGAGTTATGTATATTTCTAGTAAGTATTAGAGAGAAGCTGTTTCTCCTGCCAAAATGATGCTGAATAATTCACATTTGGTACACTTGAACCACTTGGATTCCAGATAGTTAATCCTTTATTCCCTTACCCTGGATTTTTTTAAAAGTTCATCTTGACACAGGTGAGTCTATCCAGATCTTTCAAGTTGCTAGTGTGCCCTGAGATAATGAGGGCACATCATCAAAAGTTGATTTGCAAAATGTCCTGAGATAGGGATAGGGGAGTGGGAAAGTCAGGGAAAGGTGAGAAGCACAGAAGAGATTATTTATGTAAGAAAAAAAAAGAACATTAATGTAACAAGGATCCAGTAAGTTGTCATAATCCACTGAGGATTTTTGGATGACATAATCTCAAATCAGTCAGCTTGCTGGGTAATTACTTCATTCTTGCTGATCTCCTCTGTGTGTCATTGTAAATACTTGTGCATCCATGTTCCATTTTGGCTACTGGATGGCCAAGTCATATAAGAAGATTTAACTCAAGTATTTATTCTTTAATCGTGTTATTCAGATTTCTTTCAGGCTTGTAAATTGTACCTCATTATTTGAGTTTAACCAGCTAATTCCCACATCTATCCCTCCCCTGTGAAGCATATTCCACTGCTAAAACAAAAAGAAATATTAAATTGCTTCCTGTTGTCTATATATATGTTTTTGTAGTTTGAGAAGTTTGTCTATAAAGGATATATCTCAGCTCAAAGATCATGTAAATAATTATATTCCATTACTGAATCGGTTATTTATTTCTAACAAGGCTGCAAGTTCTCACAGACACTGTAAATCACTTTTAAATAACATAAACAGGAATTACAACTATGTAAAAGTAAGTGTTCATATGGACAAAGACTGGGAACATAGAGAATTGAAATCAGAGGTGATGGGATTATATAAAATTTTTCTGTAAAAAATTTATTTGATATTGTTATAATATTGCTTTATAATAAACATCAAAAAGGGGGTAATAGAAAAATAGAAAAGATACCAGAAACAGATGCCAGAAACAAGAGCCCAGAGCATGCAGGGCACAGATATCTGATTACAGTTATTCCATAGGTTTTATATTTGCCTGGGCGTTGATGTTGCCACACACTCAGTATGGCATTTCCTTTTGTAGGGGATTATCATCTCTGAGTTAAAGCTATGGAGATGTCACTATTACAACTCCAAACACATCCTTCTGCGCTAAAACTGGCTGCTCTCCACTTTGGTATGACTTCAAGGTTTCTGTTTTGGTTACTTTATTGGAGAGGTGGCATTTGATTAGCCTCCCTTTATAATAAGTGTTTCAGGTATTACCTTTCTGGATCATTTTAGCAGAGTTCCAAGTTGAATTTTGGAGAATAGAAGGACAAAATTTCCAAATCCCAATATTTCCTTGTGTGACAGGATATTATATCATTCAGGTAGGATTTTTCTTTTAATGACCAGTAGGCAATTCCCATTGATTGCAATAGAAGTTTTGTGACTTGCAATTAAAAGCTAACTATGAAAACATTAAGACAAATATTTAGAACTGCATTTGCCTGTTGGCATTCAGTCACAGTCCTGTTAGCTTTGGTCTGAGATGGCCTCCATGTACTTATTGTACTGCTTGATTATAGGTTTTATGCAGTAGTTATCATTGTGAAAGAGAAAAGGGGGGCTACCTACCAAAAGAAGGAAATTTTTTTGTAACACACCAAAGAATTTTTAGGTGAAGACTTTTATAATGAAGTAGTAACCTCAGATGTTACTCAGTTTTGTCAAGAGCAGACCTTGTACCTAGAGAACCACAGGCTTTGCACTGACCATTCTCAATATATGGAAGTCTTAACCCTGCTATCCCCAGTTGAATGCCATGGTCCTTTTCTAAGCTACTTGAAGTTAATATTCAGTTAAGTAAAGGCATGGCCAGTGATTTGAGCTTCTCCTAATCTGTGAGCAAGAGGACTGCATTTCAGCATTTGTAAACTGGCAGTCTAATAGGCCTTGGACTTTGAGTGAACTTAACACACAATTCTGAACATATATTTGCATGTGGATTGGGATAAAAATATGGGGCCTTGGAAATAATGGAAACATTTTTCCTAAGAAAGAATTTTTCGTAGGAGATTTGTTAATGATATATAATCATTTAGTTGGTTAGCTTTAATTTTTTTCTCTCCTTTTCTGATCACACACTCCTTTAGTAACTAAATTAATATAACCCAACTTCTCATGCATTGGGAGTGTCTGTTTAGTATTGAACAATATGTAACTGAATCTGAAAATGCGGGAACTGAAATATCACCTTCCTGTGCACATTTCTGTGTACAAGTATAGTATAATACAAATAACATTACTGCCATGTAATATAGTTGAACTTACAAGATAAACTTATAGAAACTGGTTAGTGCCATCTGAATCTCCTTTGGAAGCTGCCATCAGGTGACTACTATCCCATAATACCAACAGTAAGGCAGTTACCGTGTTCACATCATTTAGTACCTAAGAGGAAAG